AACACCAACACAGTCACAGCTATAAACAAATTAGAATCTAAAAAATAGATTTCAAGACACAATTACTAAAATTACATGCACATTGAATAATGCTATAAAACGCACAGAATGAGGAAACACAAATTGCCATAAATCAGAATAAAAGCACAATACTTCCCTCATTTTTCCATTCTGCAGATAGAAAAGCCATGTTGGTGGTTTGAGAGTTGATTTTATGAATGGCACTGGGGAGTCACGTTCAGCTCGTTACCTTCTCCAGTCAGCTTTTTACGTGATTACTATATCACCAAGGGCATTGATTATTCATACACGACAGTTATACATTTTTAAAGGATACGCGTCTTTTCATGATTCTCTCGTTACAAATCTTACGGAAATGACACGCTTCCTAAAAATGTACACGACGTACTCGCAGTCTGCTGGTAAACCTCAACGTTTTAAAAAACAAGAATTGAATTAAGATGTAATAAAAAAGAATGTTATAAAACCTGCGATTCTCTTTATATATACATTACAGAGGCATACATTATAATTTCTATTAGCATAGATGTTGCCATGGCAATGGATACGAATTTCGTTTGCCAATCATTCAACATTATCTCAGTTTAGTCATTGGTCGTGTTTAAATAAACTATTGTCTATAAGCGGGCCAATTTTTGATAGAATAAATACACTGATATCAACAAAGCTTTCAGAGAATGTTTAGGATAAAATAAAAACAGACTAACATTTTGAGCAACAAAGTTGACCCTTCCTATCTTTCACAAACCCTCCTCATTTTTTTCACATTTTTTCTAAAGTTTGGATCAAGATCAGTAGTCATTATGAAATTATGTCTTTTCAATCTAAAATTATCCCAAAAATTCCCCCCAAAAATACCTAATAGGCAGAACGTTGGTGGGAAAAAAATATGCTTTCAAATGTCTAACCCCCTGCATAAATACATACTATAGAATTATAGTTAAATCTCCCAATGTGCTCAGACGCATAATTATAGAAGCTTCGTTCTAACTTGCGCATACTCTTGGTATGCATGACATGACGTTACCATGGAAAATATTCAAATTGGCAGCCATCTTAGCAAACAAAATAAAACACTCACATGCAATTCAAAGGCAACACACAGATATGTGTTGATATTGCCAGACCTGATATTAGGGGGCTTAGTGAGATCATAGCTACCAGTGTATGTGCATTTGTGTTCATGCATGGCGATGCATTAAATGTATGCTGCTAATTGTCATTGCTAGCTGAAGGCCAAAGTCAAAATCAATTAAAAATGTAGAAAAATACTCCAGATATTGAAATGAAAAATTTAAGATTATCATTTTAGACCAGATGTCTGTAGGTAAATGCTGTTCTGCACTTTGTGATGCACAATGTGTAAACAGTCTGATCCACGGCATTGAAACTTATAATAATAGAAAAAACTAATTGAAACAAAAGACATGAATTTCAATTGTTCATCTGTGGTTTGCATTATAGGAATATCCCAGAGCACACACGTATCAAGTTTAATTTAAATGTGGTAATTAATTTATTGAGATATCAGAGGAAAGCCAAAAAAAGGAATTAATGTGCATAGATTTCAACTCTAAAGTAATCAGGTCTATATACATTACATGTATCAGAAAACACCTATGTACAAGTTTTATTGAAATCTTATGAGTAGTTATTAGATACCATGGGATTTAAACAGCTAAAAAATGAACAATTTATGCAAATGAAGTGATTATTATGAATAAGATCTGATTGCAAAAAAAGTCATGTATGTTCCCAGTTGACTTGTGTACAATTTCATTGAAATCTGATGACTGGATCTGAGACATCTGTAGAACATCTATGATATACACCACTAGCATGCATATACTACTACATGTATATTTACATGCAGTTCTTTAAATTAATATGTTATATGCTATCACCGATAAAAGTCAATAACTGTTTTATGGGATCCAGGATTCATACCAGCATTCAACTATTACA